CTCTCCAAGCTCATCGGGAATAAACTCACAGGCAGGACACACCCATTCAAAGCGGCACCAGACTCTGTCCGAGCCACAGGTGCCAAACCCGCAGCGTCTCCCCACTGCTACAATGAGCAACACCCCCCGCAACCCAACTTTCAAGGGCCTTGGGTCCTACCCATGCCTATCCCAACGTACGGCGGACCTTGCCCGGTGCCCGAAACGCCCCCATGGGATGAGTGAAACCAGGCGTTCAGTGCGCTTGCGCATGAACTCACAGGAAAATGGTAAAGACACAAACAGCCCATCACCTGGGGGTCTCGCGTCTCACGGAGCAGCATCACAGCCACTTTTTCATTTTTGAAAAACCCTCCCCCTCCCCCCAACAGCAAAACTTGTTGAGCAAAAAAAAAAAGGAACTGACCAGAGCAGCCAAACTTGATGGGGGCGCTGGGTTGCCTCACACCCCACTGGAATTTCTTCACTCCCCCCAGGGAGGCATGCCCTCCCCCCCCCCAGTTTGGGAACCCGTGATTCTAGCCGACCTGCCAGTCCTAATCCTCAAAGGAAGCCTGCGCAACACCTTTAGGGTGTATCTAGACTACAGGGTTTTGTTGACAAAAGTGGACTTTTGTTGACAAAACTATCCCTGCGTCCACACTGCCTTTGAGTTCTGTCGACATAACGTCGACAAAACTCAGCAGTTTTGTCGACGTATGTAAACCTCATTCTGCGAGGAATAACGCCTTTTATCGATAGCGTTCTGTCGCCAGAAGGCGTTATTGCATCTACGCTCTCCTTTGCGTCCACACTGTTATGTCGACAAAGCAGCTTGCTTTGTCGACAGAACTGGCTGTCGTCTAGACGCTTTTTGTCGACAGAAGCTTTGTCGACGGTATCTGTCGACAAAACTTCTGTCGACAAAACCCTGTAGTCTAGACGTACCCTCAGAGGGTGACGTAGTGGGGATTATATTGACTCTTGTAGTCCCAGAAGTCACTGTTTTGTATTCACTCTGGGTGCTGTGTTGTGTTGTATGTGATTCTACTGTCCCGTGCTGTTCTGTGGCTGTGTGCGCATGCGCACGTGCAGTGCCCAACAAGGGCTGGGATCTTTGGGTGAGTATTCCTAAGGGAGGGCACGTGGGAAATGACCCAGGCCTCCTGTCACCCGAGTTAGGTGGAGGATTCAATCAGGTTGAATTTTGCAGGACAAAGAAGGCGGCGGGGCTGCTTCCAGGCTGAGGCCAGTGCCTGGGTGTATGAGTTAATTTTTCGGCTGGCTTAGGGAGAAGGGAGTCTAGCTGGGTTGGGGGGCCGGGCAAGGGCCAGAGCCAGGGGTCAGAGCAACAAGTCTGTGCTATGCTGTGTCCCTGTGAACCAATAACCCTTCTGTTCTACTCACCGGCTGAGATCCACATCTGGCTGTGGATGCAGGTGCAGGACCCGGTGACGCCCGCACAGTCTGTGACAACGAGCCTGAGAGTTTAAATTCACAACAAGGAGTCCTGCAGCACCTTAGAGACTAGCCAAAATCTATAGGATCATGAGCTTTTGTGGGTGAGACCCACTTCTTTGGATGAGATGGAGAGGAAATAACAGAACACAAGATATATAGAACAGCAAAAGAAGTATCTGTCAATTGTAGGCTTTGTGTTGAAGCTAATTAAGTGTGCTGGCCGTGTCCCATTCAGAGCTTTTGATGTGAAAATGTGAATATCAAAGGCAGGGGAAACTGGCTTTGTAGTGCATTAACCAGTTAGGGTGTGTCTAAACTACACCCCTCTGCCGACAGAGGATGTAGATTAGGCACATCGCTATTGCAAATGAAGCGGGGATTTAAATATCCCGCCCTTCATTTGAATAGAAATGGCTGCCACGGCACTTTGCTGACAAAAAGCAGTAGTCTAGACGGGGATCGGTCGACAAGGAAAGTCTTTTCCGACCGATCCTGTAAACCTCATTGCACGAGGCATAAAGGATCGATCGGAAAAGGTTTTCCTTGTTGACCGATCCCCGTCTACACTGCCTCTTTTTGCCTAAATAGTGCCGCGGTAGCTATTTCTATTCAAATGAAGCGCGGGATATTTAAATCCCCGCTTCATTTGCAATAGAGATGTGCCTAATCTACATCCCTCTGTCGGCAAATTAACTTTGTAGTGTAGACATACCCTCAGAGAGCAAAGTGGCCAGTTATCAGCACACCTGGAAGACTCTCAAGGAGGTCTGTTGTGACTGCCCCCGTCACATTTTCCTGTGCCCATTCTGCCCTCATGGCTAGTTGGCTGGTGGGCTGCGGAAAGATATTTGAGAACCACTGCTCTAGTCGGCCTCAAACCTATCCCCTTTTTCCTTGGGCTCCCCCGATTCATTCCACTGGAAGAACGATTCCTTTTCGTTTTCCGTCCGAGGGAAATCTACGGGACTCTTGGAACTAATTTCTAATTCCACATTTTCTTTTTGTTCCTCGTGGGTCGTGCACGTGCCATGCAGCTGGTGCATGGCATGAGAGCGGGTGCCCGGGGACGAGAGGTTTAATGGAAATGTGCTTGTAATTTGAGTAATGGCCTGATAAACTGGCTGGGAAGAGGAGGGAGTTGCAAACGTGGCTCTTTTAATGTTCTCTGTCTTCTCCTCCAAGCCACCGAGCACCCGGGGAGCCAAGGCGGGAGCCCAGTTTAGCTGGACGAGTCTTGTGAAACGGATGCTGGCGCGTTCTGAGGATAAACACCTCCACAGCCCCCCATCCCTCTCTTCTATATTGGGGGGAGGGAGGAGGGTTGTTCCAGCGAGCAGCTGGTTTTCATGTATTGATTTATTTAGGGCCTTCCCTTTGACACGGCGTAGGAAGTGGCGTGCACCATCCAAGCCACGAGCGAAGTTCGTACAGCTTTCCCGGTCACCTGCAAGCTGCACTAATAGCCGGAAAAGCAATCATTACCCGTCCTACCACCCGGGCTATAATAAGCCGCATAAATTGCTGTGTTCGTTCATTCTCCGGCTTAAAGGACAGTAGGTGTTGAAATACGATTGAAACAGCTGTTCCAAGAATGCAGAGGCAGTCACAGGGTTTCTCCTTCTCCCCATTATGGGCAGCCTGTTTTCTAGAGATTGGGGGCCACCTGGTATCCTCTAATTTTGTGCCCATCACTGGTTCCTGGCGCAGTCACCTGGATGGAATGCAGGCGTCTGTTGAGCCAGCTGGAATGTGGCGCTATGCCGTCAACACAAGCAGAAAAGCCGCTGCCTTTCTGGAAGCGTGGTCTAGTGGTTAGAGGGTAGCTTGGGGCTCAGTAGAATCCTAGAATCCTAGAACGGGAAGAGATCTCGAGAGGTCATCGCATCCAGTCCCCTGCCCTCACGGCAGGACCCAGTACTGTCTACATCAGTGGTTCCTAAACTTTTCGGCATCACGCCCCCCTTTTTGATTTTTGAGAAACCCTCACGTCCCCCCCTCAAATAGCAACAAAACTTGTTAAGTAAAAAAAAAAAGGAACTGACCAGGGACAAAAAACAAAAATAGCAGCACAACTTGGGGGGGGAATTAATGGGTGGGCTGGGTTGCTTCGTGCCCCCCCTGGAATTTCTTCACGCCCCCTATTTTGGGAACCCATGGTCTAGCTCATCCCTGACAGGTGTCTGTCTAACCCACTTTTCAATATCTCCGGTCATGGAGATGCCACAACGGTCGGGTGAGGGTAGGCACAGAGTCAAGTCTTTGTGTGATCGAGTCCCTTGGGCAGCTGAAGTATTGTCCATATTACTGTGGGCCGTCAACCTAAGTTGGGGTGGGGAAAACGGCTGGATCTGGCCCACCATGCAAGTTGAGGAGCATGACAGGAGTCGGCGGAAGCACTCCTCCAGCTCGCCATCATTTCGACATTAGGTCGCCTTACTGGCGTGAGTGCAGACGCGCATTGCGGCATGTTGGAGTAACGGCCGTTATTCCGAACTAATGCTGCCGTGGAGACGCACCTTAAGGCGTCACAGGGCTGCTCGTTATATTGTGGGAGGGTTTCTTACTCTTCCCTCTGCAGCATGTGGTACCGGTGACAGTGACAAGGGATTGCACGAGGTCCGAGTCCAGCTTCCTTACGGCCCCTCCCCCTTTGCTCTGGCCAAGCGTACCTCTTGGTGTGTGCCTGCCGCCCGCCAGAAGCCGCTCTTTGACGCAGGCGGAAGGGGAGGGTTGTTTCAATTTGCTTCTCATCCCGTTGTCTTCTCTTCTGCAGGCCTAAGGATACGGCTCTTCAACTTCTCACTGAAGCTCCTCACCTGCCTCCTCTATATTGTCCGTGTCCTGCTTGACAACCCCGCCAAGGGAATAGGCTGGTGAGTCTCTGTTGGGCACAGGAAGGCGGATTTGAGCGGTGGGTCTGGTCCATCCCCGGGTACCCGTCTGGCCCCCGTTGTGATGGGCTCTCGGTGGTACTGCTCACCAGACAGCACTTCCTGGTGCCCAGAGCCGGCATGCGAGCCGTTAGGTGGCTGTGGGTGTGACGATGCCCGCGGAAACTCCGCCGCCACCCACGCACCAGTGCCTGAGAACCTCTCCCAGATAAAGGGCTCCCTTGTTCTTTCCGCCTCACCACAGAGCTGCGTCTGGGTAGCTGGTGCGATGGGGTATGTCAGCACTGCATGCCTCCTTCGAGAGAGGAATGCAAATGCAGACACGTGAAATTGCAAATGAAGCACGGATTTGAATTTCCCACGCTTCATTTCCATAATCGCGGCCGGCCGCTTTTCCGAAATAGCGTATTTCGAGAAAACAAACGTGGTCCCTGCGGGGTTATTTCGAAAAGAAACCCTTCCTTCGAAAGGACCCTTAAACTTCATTTTCTAAGGAGTAAGGGTTATTTCAAAGGAAGGGCTTATTTTTGAATTACCCCCGCAGGGACCGCGTTTGTTTTCTCGAAATACGCTATTTCGGAAAAGCGGCCGGCTGCGATTTTGCAAATGAAGCACAGTAAATTCAAATCCACTCTTCATTTGCAATTTCACGTGTCTGAATTTGCATTCCTGTCTCGAAGGAGGAATGCAATGTAGACATACCCATGGGGAACAGTACAGAGCCAACCAACTACCCCACTTACAGAGTGGTTTGTGTCCAGAGGGGAGGAGATTTCTGAGGGCAGTGCTGCTTCTCCAGCGCGGTTGGGCGTTCTCCTCTGAGACTACGCCTAGACTACAAGCCTCTTTCGAAAAAGAGCGTCTAGACTACAAGCAGTACTTTCGAAAAAGCAAGCTGCCTTTTCCAAAGAGAGCACCCAGACAGTCTAGATGCTCTCTTCCGAAAAAGCACAGTTTGCATGACATAGCGCCTTTTTTCAAAAGCGCACTTTCGTAAAAAGGCGTTCTTCCTCGTAAAACGAGGTTTTCTGCGGTCGAAAAAACTGCCGCGTTCTTTCAATTTACTTTCGAAAGAACGCGGAGGCAGTCTAGACGCAGGGGACGTTTTTTCGGAAAAACCCTGTAATCTAGACACACCCTGAGTGGCTATTCCCCTTCTCCGATGACGTCGTTTGTGCCTTTCCCGTTTGGCTGTGTGCGCGCTACCTTCCGTGTGAGGCGCGGGGATAGTGGAGCGCAATCACCAGCTAGCGATGTGGGGAAACCTGAACTCGCGCCCCACACCAAAATGACAGGCCTTCCGCGCTCCCCTGGCTTGTGGAGGAAAGGGAACCTGCGGGTCCTGTCAGTAAGCAAGTCACGCCGTGGCCGCAAGTGGGCAGGAGAGAACAGAAACGGAAACCTCTCCCCATTCCTCCACCCCAGCTGAGCCCCACAGCGGCTCTGTCTCGCCTCTTGTGGTTTCCCTGCCTGTTGTCGGCGTTGGGACAGGTTGGACCTCGCTGGGCTGGCACCCTCGGGACGCTAGCGGATTTGCCGGACGGGGGACGGTCCCTCCTCTCGGGACCCATGCTGCCATCTGGCTGCTCCAGCCTGCCCCCGCTGCTGCCCTCGCTCCCCGGGGCTCTCTAGAGGCCTGCTGCTGGCAGGGCTGGCGGGGGACG